GATGTTATATTCAGCCAGCCGTGGATAGGCCCTCCTCTGTGTACAGTCTATGTTTGAAGAAAATAAAGAGCTAGCCTATACCTGGTAGCTCTCCTTTACTGTGCTTCAAGGTCTAATTCTTGGAAAGTGTTTTCAGAATGGGACGCGGGACCCGGTTTCCTGCAGGTTTTTGTAGAAAAAGGATGCAGCAGTCGGTTTTCAGTTCGAGCTCCTGCTCGTAAGCGAAACTGGCTGACGCTGCCAGGAGGTCCCCGGCCTCATCCCATTGGTTTATTCTTGGGATAATTGGTAGAAAGAGCCCACGCCAAAACCTTTTCGGTTTCGGCCGCCCAAAGTTCGGCCGTTTGGTACTACCGGCCCAAACAAGGCGCCTTCGCGACGTGGCCACATCTCCTTGGGCCTGTTTTCACCGGTTGAAGAATTTGGCGCTGTTTCTGAGCCAGATTCATGAACCGGTAGGGCCCTTCTTTTTCAAAATAGCGTAAGTGGGCCGCTGTTTTTGCGCCAGATGCATGATCCGGTAGGGCCCTTGGAGCTACGCGTGGGCTGTAGTACCCCACATGCAAGTCATTGGGCCGGTAGTACCAAACGGCTAAACTTTGGGCGGCCAAACCGAAAAGGTTTTGGCTTGGGCGCCTTCTACCGATTATCCCTTTATTGTTGCAATACAATTTTCAACTTTCCAAAAAAAAAAAAAAAAAAAGGAATTACGTTAAAATCCAAAAACGAAAATATGGTACCGTTTTTTTTACCGGACGCCGGGGGGACGGCGCGAAAAAGAGCGTTAATGGTGCGACAACGATAGTGGCGGTAGCGGCGCCCGATTGTTGACTTGCGGTCGAGTGGAGTGCAGCGTTTAACCCTGGAAGTCCATCTTTCAACGTGGTGCTTACCCTGCCGGGCACCATAGCTGTGTGAGAGCTATGGCGTGCAGTGCCCAAACGTAACCTAGCTCGTGAGTGGGCTAGGGAGCCCCTCTGTGCTCTTAAGTTTGGGCATCCGGGCAGCCTCATATCCAACCATTCCAACCATTCATACCATGCCAATGAACAGTCATCTTAAACACAGGAAGATCTGTATTCGGCCTTGCTTTCGGCTGAATATATCTTACATCGCATCTGGCCAAATTAACGAAGAAGTATCTGGCCTCATCTTTGGTTCAATACGTTTGGAGGGGCTAGGGGTATACGTGATGAAGAGCTATCGACAGTGGCTTTGCTGTGGGCAGTGGGAGAGCGCGCAGCAGCGGTGGGAGCGCCTCGATGGCTCAAGGGACGGGAGTGACAACTTCGACTTCGGTATGCTTCGAG